ATCCACTTACTTCGATCCTTCAGTCGTACGTTATGAAAGAATCGAAGCACGTAAGCGGTAATACGAACGATTTTCTTCCAATCGTTTGATCTGTGCCATAATTCACAAAACCGATCACACACATACGTCATCATGACCGCTGAAACCATAACCTGCCTTTGCTTAGTTTCACGATTTATTTGCTCTGCCTCTTCAGGTGTAATAACCATTCGTGGTTTCGGCCATTCTGCTTGCGACTCTATCAACCAGTTGGGACCTCTTTTCCACAACTTACTCGCAAGCAATTCATCAGCCTTCATGCCTCTGCTCAACAAATCGGCCGGGTTTTCTGATGTTCCGATATGAGCCCATCGAGCTTCGCCTATGGCTTCGTGAATAGCCTTCACTCTATTCGAAACGTACACTTTCAATTCAAGAGGTGATTTTTTTATCCAATGTAGCGTGACCATTGAATCCGACCACATAAATTGTTTTGCTTTATCAAAACCGCATATCTCCACTATCTGCCTCATTAACTTGCTACACATCACTGCTGCAAGTAATTCCAATCGATGAATTGGCGTTTCCGCATCCACTCGTGCTACCGTTTCTTGTTGCTGGTTTGTCGGCCTGTTTTTAATCGGAACAACTTTCGATTTTCCAGTCAATAAAATGCTTCTTATTTCGCCTTTCAATGTTGTAACACGTGCGTAAATAGCTGCGCCGTACGCATTTTTACAGGCATCGCCAAAACCGTGCAATTGTAGTTCGCAATCTTTGGTTGTGCCTAACCATCTCGGAATCCGAAACGCGCCTAATTTCGGTAAATCTTGCCTAAAATCGTTCCATCGGCTTTTAATGCCATCGGGGACCGGCTCATCCCACTTTAATCTCTCAATTTTCCAAATATCTTGCATTAATATTTTGGCAACAACTAAAACTGGCGTCACGTAGCCGTTGGGATCATACAGCCTGGCGACCTCACCCAAAATAGCGCGTTTCGTATATTTCGGTTCTGTTGTTAACCGTACAACAATTGTGAGCTGGTCATTTGCCTTGAGCCAGCGGACACCGAGAACTTTGGTTTCATCATTCGATTCGCCTATATCGACCACGTCCTTTTCATCGCCTTGCATAAATTTTTCAACAGTGATGCAATTCGATGCCCATTTGCTTAGTTCAAAGCCGCCTTGGCGAAGAACAAACTCCACTTCTCTACACAGCATTTTTAAGCCTGCGATCGTGTCATCGCCAAAAGTTCCATCATCAACATAGAAACATTTTCGTATTACTTCCGCTGCCTGCGGGTAATCTTTCGCATAATGGTTTGCGCATTCTACCATTGATCTCACGGCATTGTATAGCGATGATGCTAACCCATACATCACGACTGTTATTTGGTATTCTGTTAATGGATCACTTGGCCGTTCGCGCCAAAATATCCGTTGTAGATTCCACTGCGATGGGTGCAGGCAAACCTGACGAAACATTTTAACGACATCGGCAATAACTGCGTATTTATATCGCCTAAAACGCATGATATGAAACTGTAAATCAGCTTGTAGCTTCGGGCCTATTAACTGAATTGAGTTCAGCGATTCTCCATTTGACGTTCTACATGATGCATCAAATACCGTTCGGAACTTATCAGCATTGATGGCGTGATGCGGTATATAATACGTAACATCGCCTATCGATGGTTTCGGAGCTTTTCTCATGTGGCCTAATTGTTCAAGTTCGCGCATAAAATGAACGTATTTCAATCTCAAATTGTCATCTCTCTGCAGCCTCCGTTCAAGGGCGAAAAATCTACGCATTACAATCTTTCTTGATTCGCCTAACGTTTTGCCTGGTTTCAGTGGTATTTTAACCACAAATCGACCACTTTGCTTTCGAAACATATCGGCCGTATATGAATCTTCAGCCGCCTTTTCTTCAGCCGTTAGTGTAGAACTAAGCTCTGCAATGCCTTCACTTTCGAAAAATTTCTTCAATAGTTCGTCTAATGCCTCTTCGTTTGGTCGCTCTTCTTCGGCGTGTGCGATCATGGCTTGGTATGCCGCCGTACCAAAAGCCTCTGGTGGTACCCAAGTTCCGCCTAAAATCACATGGCCTAGCGCTGTTTCGTGCATAACAGCGCCAGTTGGATGCTGATATAGCATCGAGCCTATGATGTCACCCCACACATCTGCAGCCAGCAATATATCCACAGGTGCGGGGATGTCAAAGTTCATATCGGCCAATGTTAGCCTGTCGTCAATCGGCCTTAAAACGCTCAAATTAATCCACGGTTGTGTGCCTCCGAATTCGTTACTTACAAATAATTCTGTTCTTAATCTAAAATCACTTTCAAACCAGGGCAATATGAAAGCTTGGATTTTTCTTGTAAACGAGCTTATTCCACCAATTCCGTTCATGTATCTCGAACACGGCCTTAGTGGCAAGGCATTAGCCTTTGCGCTTGCCACTGTAATCAAGCCCGCCTGTGCCCCTGTGTCGAGGATCGTTCTGAATGGTGGAGAAATAAACGTTCCGAATTGCATTCTTATTGTGGCTGTACCCAATATTACATATCTCTCTAAATTACCTTTCGTGAATTTTTGTCGGCTTGTTGTCGGCGCTTGGCTGTCCTCGTCTTCTTCATCGTCATCACGATTGATCCGTTGTTCGTTCGCGATTGACCAATCGCCGGCTCGTGTCACTGCCGACTGTAAAGAAGACCTATATGAAGATGCCAATTCCGACATTCGTGCTTGTTTAGGGTGGGAAGGATGGGCATCTTCATCATCTTCTTCGATGTCCATATCCCAATAACGGACCACATCCTGTCCGCCAGCCTGATGACTGCGTTTGCCTAGTCATTGTTTTCGATTAGTTTTGGAATAAGCTCCGGTATTAGGTTTTACGTTACCTTGTTGTGAGCTGCCTGGACGTGATTCGTTTTGGTAAAATGGTACATTTGTATAAGAAGTACTCAAAAAAAAGCATATTTTTGGGTTTTGGTCAAGGCAAACTGCCAATATTTTGCAAAAATAATGGGGTTCTGTGAACAATCAAATACTAACTTGCCCAAAAATTTGGTCCAAAATCAACATTTCTTGAAATTTTTGGAATTTTGTT